TGGGTCCTGTCTCCCCACACTGGTCTCCTGTGTGGGACCTCTCTCCCCGCACCAGTCTCCGCTCTGGGACTTGTCTCCTTGCACCGGTCTCCACTCTGTGCTGACTGTTGTCTCTCAGACACTATGTATTTGCAGCCAGATAGACCTAGTTTATCACCTACCATCATTCGGATAGATGTCATCTGCCAGGCTGGAACAGTTCCTCATACAATGTTCATCTGTAAAGAAGCGGTTCGCATTTCCTCCTGCTCCTCTATAGGCAAAAATCTTACACCGGTCACTGGTTTGATTGTAATAAAATTTCACAGATGGGCTATCTCCAATTTGTCCTTCATCCATTGGCAAGTTGCAGGCTGTAATATGGGCAAAAGCAAAGTATCATTACATAGAAATTACAACACAGACAGGCCATTTGGCCCAACTAACTCATACTGCTCCACATGCACCTCCTCCCACTCTTCTTCAACAAACTCGATTCACATATCCCTCTCCTCCTTTTTGCCTCACGTGATTCCCTTCAAGCCTCTCTGTGCTATTCACTGTTCTTAAGGGCTAATTGTGCCTATTTGTGAAGCACAAGCACAGACCAATACATTTGGAAAAGCTTCTTCATTCCTTCACCCGGAGTTTGCTGCACTATTCAAATGCACTCCTGACTGTTTTTTTTAATATATACCTTTCAATGTTCTTTTGCAATGTAAAACAGAAAAGGCTGAATTAAATCAAATTTGAAAAATAAACCAAAGAGTTCCCCTGTGGCACTGTGCAGGGGATAATTTATTAAATCTGTCAGACTAAGCTTCATCCACTCGCCCCACCAACCATCCCACCACCACTGAGGACCTCCAAAAGCTTCAAGCATGCTGTCCAGGACACCAAGGTGCAGATGTTGCAGCAAAAGGGAAGCCGCATACGATTTAGTACACTTTTTGTCAAAAAAAATCCAGATTGCACCAAATTGAAAAGAACTCTAACAGCCCATTATGACATTGCAAATTATAAGAAGAATTGGCAGAATCAAATTCAAAACGTAATTTGTGGGAGAAATATTTTTGTATCAACCAATAATCAGACACATGCAGGGCAGGTAGAGCTTAAACATGGACTCTCTGGCTGACAGGCAGAGATAGAACCACTGTGCCACAAAAGTAGATATTTTCTAATCATTCTGTTCAGAGATGATATTACACATCTCTGGAGCGGGTGGGCCTTGAACCTGGGCCTCCTCGGCCCAGGAGCAGGGATACCACCACTGCACCACAACAGGGCTCCCAAGAGATGGTATAACAATTCATAAATTATTTTGGGCACCTGTTTGTCTTGTCACTTTTATCACCAAGGCATTTGGCATCCTATTAACAGAATTACATATCAAAAACTTCAAAAGTTGAGGTGGCAGTGACTTCTACACTCATTCCCTAGGTAAAAGATGTTTCCCTCTAGAAAGTTTCAGTATATGGGCTAGACCATTTAGGACTCGCATCAGGAAAAATGTTTTCCTTCAAAAGTGGATTGTGGAATCATCTACCTTCTGGCTGTGGAGGCCAAGTCACTGAACATATTTAAGATATGGATAGATGCATTTTTAGATGTTACAAGACCAAAGGTTATGGGGAGAAAACAGGAAAATGACATTGGGTTAGAGGATTAACCATGATCATTTTAAGTGGCAGAGCAGACTCGAAGGGCTGAATGGCATGAACTCCTACTTTCAATGTTTCTATGTCATTTAACAACATCATAATCTAATATTCTGTCAAAATGCTGGATGAATTTATGAGGCAAATTGAAAATGGGAGGTACTCAAAGTTTTGCTATTAATTGAGTAAACTGCTGTAACTATCATTTATAACCGTTTCATAAGTTGTAAAAACCATTCTGTCTGAAGCAAAAATCTCATAACTGTGTTTACAGTTTTACTTGCCTGAATTGGAACATGGAACATTAGTGGACCCAACGGAATCACAAAGCAGCAATACAAAGCCATTGGAAATGTTCTATGAAAGATTTGCAAAGCCATTCTGGGTTCTCACACAATTGCAGTCTCAAAATAATTCAGATCAGGTGAAATTTGAGACCATTTATAATCACACTGTCATTCTTAACTTCACATAGGCCAAACCACACACTGTTACCACACCCTCAACCACTGTTACCAAACACATTTCTACTGTTATCACACCCTCATCTACTGTTATCACACCCTCATCCACTGTTACCACACCCTCAGCCACTGTTACCAACCCCTCATCCACTGTTACCACACCCTCACCCACTGTTACCAAACACATATCTACTATTATCACACCCTCACCCACTGTTACCAACCCTTCACCCACTGTTACCACACCCTCACCCATCATTACCACCCACTTACCCATCTTTATCACTCTTTCACACGCCACCTGAAACACTCACTCACCCATTTCCCACCTTCCACCTGAATGAGGTTAACTATGCATTGGCCTCACATCTCATTTCAGTGTTAGGGTGAAGCATGGAACATGCCAGTGGACAAAAATGCAAGTGGAGAACACACCAGTGTAGAAAATGCACGTGGGGAACACATTAGTGGAGAGAATGCAAATTTGAGTCATATTAATGTCATAGTGACCCTGAAATAAGAGACACAGTGACTGGGATTAGGTTTTGGAGAGGAAATTGGACAAAGCTGATAAGGACAAAAACATAGTTGCTGGAAAAGCTCAGCAGGTCTGGCAGCATCTGTGAAGGTAAAAAAAGAGTTAACATTTCGGGTCCGGTGACCCTTCCTTAGTTCTGACCCGAAACATTAACTCTGTTTTTCTCCTTCACAGATGCTGCCAGACTTGCTGAGCTTTTCCAGCAACTTTGTTTTTGCTCCTGATTTACACCATCCGCAGTTCTTTTGTTTTTTTCAAAGCTGATGAGAATGTCAGATGATGAGCTTGTGGGGGAGGGCAGAATGCGATGTGGGGAGGGGATTGGGGAGGAGCGAAGATGGCAAGGAGAGATACAGTGTGGAGGAGGGGAGACTGGTTTGTTGAGGGGAAAGATGGAGTTGGGCAGAGGAGATGGCGTTATTGCTGGTAGTTGGGGGTGGGAGATTTCAGTGATCAGGATGTGGTCTAATGTGGGATTATGAGAAATGAGGAAGATTTTCTCCTTTCGTTTCCATGTTTTATTCAGTTTGTTCTTTGTCTCTGGCAGTCGCTGACACTCAACTCCCTAGATTTTTTTTGTTCATTTGTGGGATGTGGGTGATGCTGGCTGGCCAGCATTTATTGCCCGTCCCTTGTTGCCATTGAGGAGGTGGTGGTGAGCTGCCTTCTTGAACTGCTGCATTCCAAATGCTGTGGGTTGACCCACAATGCCATTAAGGAGGGAATTCCAGGATTTCAACCCAGTGACAATGAAGGAATTAGCAGTGATGATCCCAGCTCCCTCATGGCAAACTATCCAGACAGGGAGTCTCAGATTGGCATTAGGTCCCTAATTGCAAATGTAAAGATTAGGGGCTGTGGAGCATGATGCATCTGGGTTTGTTTCAGGGTCGCATTTGTGAATACTGATATGTCCATTTATATCCAGAACTGAATAAAAATCAGGTGATGGCTTTGAAAAAAATTGTACTTTTGTAAAAATAAATCATTTAAATATAGCCCCTATTAACATTTTCCCCCGGTGAGGTATCATATTGCAGTTTTCTTTTGTGAGGTTTCATTAAGATAATGGGACTTTGAAAAAAATTAAACAACATGTTGTTGATTTGGAGCAGCAACTCTTCACTGTGCACTGTACAAGGAGAGAGGTTCTGGAATAGTTGTACCAGAGAGTGGTCACTTTGCATTGTGTTAAGCAGGTGAGTGGATGACCATTCATCAAAGGGAAAAGAGACACCAGGTCCAGGAAACAAGGAACTGCCGAACAGGTCCGAAATTTTAGGTGCCTATTTAATGAACAACACGGCTGAGTCAGGGCTGGACAGTACCATGGTAGGCAAGGTTACTTTGGGAAAAGAGAGAGAGGCTGCCAGGCAGGTTAGAAAAGTGGTAGTTGTGTGTGACTCAATAGTTCGAGGGATAGATTGGCTAGTTCGCAGCTGAGATTGTGAGCCTCCTATGGTATGTTGCCCCTGGGTGCAAATGTTCAGGACATAATGGACCGGATAAAGCTCTGGAAAGGGATGGTGAACAACCATAATAGTGGTTCATGTGGAAACCAATGACATAGGAAGCGATAGCTTGATGGTCTTGCAGGATTGGTTTCAGGAGTTAGGGAGAGGGTTAAAACACAGGACCTCCAGGCCTGTAATTACAGAAATATTACCTGTGCCACACACTTCACCATTTAGGCAAAGGCAGAGCAGGGAGGTAAATGCATGGCTTTAAGGAGGGTGCAGAAGACAGAGATTTAGATTGTTGGGACATTTTGGGAAAGGAGAAAGCTATTCAGAACAGATGGGCTTCACCTAAGCAGAAATGCAAGTAATCTCCTAGCTGAGACAGTAAATAATGTAGTAAGGATGGACTTAAACTTGTAAGGCAGGGCATGGGTTGACTAATGGGCCTAGTTTTGGAAGTACCAGTGAGGGCAGAAGACAGAAGATAAGGAACAGGGAAAAAGGTGTGAAGGAAGACTTGAGTGTTGAAGTGAACAAAGAAGTGGTCACTTTCTAATGGGCAAGAAAGAGGTAAGGGCAATGTTAAGTTGTATGTACGTAAATGCAAGGAGTCTCATAAACAAAGCTGGGGAATTGGAAGCAGAAATTTCTCTGGAGGGATATGATGTAGTATCATTGACTGAAACATATCTAAAGCCAGAGCAGGATTGGATACTCATCAAAACCAAAAGAGCTGCGGATGCTGTAAATCAGGACCAAAAACAGAAATTGCTAGAAAAGCTCAGCAAGTCTTGCAGCATCTATGAAGAAAAAATCAGAGTTAAGTTTTGAGTCCGGTGACTCTTCCTCAGAATGTTCTGAGCTTTTCCAGCAACTTCTGTTTATGTTGCTGGATACTTATGACCTGGGTTCCAAGGTTTTTGGTAGAAAGGTGGTAAAAGGGGAGGAGGGGAAGCAATCTTGGTCAAAGATGGTATTATAGCCCTTGAACAAGATACAGTTCCTGAATTAGAATCTATATGGTTGGAGGTGAGAAACAGGAATGAAGCTGTGACCTTGTTGCATTTTTATTATAGACATCGAAATAGTGGGGAGGAAGTAGAAGAGAGAATTTGTAGGCAGATTATGGAAATCTGCAGGACAGGTAGGATTGTGGTAGCTGGTGATTTCAATTATCCTCGGGTAGACTGGGAAAAAGGTAGAGCATGGAACATGGAAGGGGAGAAATTCTTGCAATGTGTGCAGGAGAAC